GGGGGGCCGAGGTTGGGGGGCCTGGGTGGAGGGTCCGGAGCCGGAGTTGGGGGGGCCGGGGCTGACCGCCCTCCGGTGCCCGCAGGTCCCACGCAGCAGCAGGTGGAGGGCCGGCTCGGCGAGCTCCTGAAATGCCGGCAGCCCGCGCCGCCGACCTCGCAGCCCCCGCGGGCGCAGCCCTTCACGCAGCCGCCGGGACCCTGGTCCCTGTCGAGGTGAGACGCGCGCGCCCCCGGCCCGGCCCGGCCACCCCTCCGCCCCCCTCCCCTCCTCCGCCGCCGCCCTGGCGCGGAGGGTGACCTTGTGAAACGCTAGTGCGGCCCGGCCACGTGCTGCGGGCGGGGCGGGCGCGCCGGGGCGGGGGTTCGCGGGTCCTGCCCACAGCGCTTCCGCCTCACCTGGCCGGGTCCGGGCCCCCAGCTGGGGGAAAGCCGGCAGCTCCGGGGTCGCGGGGGCTTGCAGCGGCCAAGGCCAGCGCTTCGGGCGACCTTGGGCTGCGGCTGGAGCCCGAGCCACGGTTCGCGGACGGCGCCGGGCGCCGGTCCTCAAGGTCTCGCGGCTCCGTCCTTGCAGAGCTCAGCGGGGGACAAGGGCGTGTGCTTCCCCCGGGCAGGGCCGCCGCCCTCCTCCGCCCTTCACCCCAGACACCCTGGGGCAGTGGGGCCTCCTCCCCTGCAAATGCTTCTGCGTTTCCCAAACCAGTGAGGTCCGGAGACCACAGGAGCCTCAGTCCGGCCACTGCGGCCTCCCGTGACCGTGACCCAGAGGTTGGACAGCCCCGCGGGGCTGGACGCGTGACTTTGGCTCGGCGCCTCCGCCGTTCCCTTCATTTGTCCTGTGCGTCCCCCAGGCCTGTGCGCTTTGCTGCGGCCCCAAGGCTCCTGGAGGTGGCAGGGCCCTGGCCTGGGGTGCTGGGGAGGGCCGCGGGAGGAGAGCTCAGTCCAGGAGTTCAGGGCAGCGACAGGTGGGGAGTGCCGAGCCACCCTCAGCCTTCCCCCTGCCTACCTCGCAGTTTCCGGGCCTCAGGTGGCACAGGTGGAAGCCTGTGGGGACAGGTGTTTGAGGCTTCACCGGGGTGGGCCTCTCCAGGGCTCCATCCTAGTGAGGTAAGTGGCCTAGACCAGAAGTGCCTTCCAGTGGGAGGTGAGTGGGCCCCAGGTGTCCCAAGTGGGACGCTCCTCAGACATCATGCTTGGTCTTCCCTTCCACTCTGCCTCCCAAAGGAGGAAACCGAGGCACAGGTGTGCAGCCAGCACCTGGTCCCCCAGGCAGGCAGGGATCACGAGGCTGGAGTGGCCCAGGGTGACAACCTCTGTCTTGACCTGGAGGAACCACCTTCCTTTCCTCTCCAGGACCCCACTGCTGGGGAGGGCAGGGGCAAGGCTGTGGCACAGTTGCAAGGAGTTAGGGAAGACGGAAACGTTCTTCATGGTACCCCTAGGGTCCCCGTGGGCAATGCCAGGTCCACTGGCTGTTGTCCCTTTTTTTTTTGAGTTGGAGTTTCAATCTCGTTACCCAGGCTGGAGTGCAATGGCATGATCTCAGCTCACTACAGCCTCCGCCTCCCGGGTTCAAGCGATTCTCCTGCCTCAGCCTCTTGAGTAGCTGGGATTATAGGCACGAACCACCATGCCCATCTAATTTTTGTATAGTAGAGGTGGCCATGTTGGCCAGGCTGGTCTGCAACTCCTGACCTCAGGTGATCCACCCGCCTCGGCCTCCCAAAGTGCTTAGATTACACGTGTGAGCCACCTCGCCAGCCTGATTTTTGTACTTTTAGTAGAAATAGGGTTTCACCATGTTAGCCAGGATGGTATCAATCTCCTGACCTTGTGATCTGCCCACCTCAGCTTCCCAAAGTGCTGGGATTACAGGCGTGAGCCACCGCGCCCGGCCTGTTGTCTGTTAAAGCCCCCATCGGAGGACCTCTGTCAGCCAGCTAGTGGGACATGTGGGAGGTTGAGGGGGCTTCACCCTATGTGCAGCGGGGCTGGAGGCGCCCTGCGCAGGGCAGGGTGTGTGCTGTCCTCTCCTTGGGGTCACACACCTTCCCACCCCTAGGCCTCAGTGCTGGCAGCTTCTGGCAGCAGTGGGGTGTCTGCCTGAAGCCCCCACCCTGCTCCTGCACCTTCCTGGGCCCACCACCTTCACTCTGAACTGCCCCACCCTATGCTGCTACCCACCTTCCTGCCTTTTACTTCATTTAATTTTCTTTTTGAGACAAGGTCTTGCTGTGTCACCCAGGGTGGGTGCAGTGGTGCAGTCATGGCTCAGTGCAGCCTCAACCTCCCAGGCTCAAGCGATCCTCCCACCTCCCAACTTCCCCAGTAGCCGGTACAACAGGCCAGCACCGCCACACCTGGCTGATTTTTAAATTTTATGCAGACAGGGGTCTCACTGTGTTGCCCAGGCTAGTGTTCAATTCCTGGGCTCAAGCAGTCCTCTCACCTTGGCCTCTGCTCCCGGCCTGTCATGCCTATTCTTCTCCTTGCTGCTCCTCATCCCTCACTGACTCGTCTTGGGAGTGGGACGTGAGGTCCCCACGAATCTCCCCTGGTGCACCTGGAGGGTCAAGGCTTGTCACCCACCATGTGTGCTGGCTCCAGTTCCTGTCAGGCACAGGTCTGGGCACTGCCACCACACCTGGCTAATTTTTGTATTGTTAGTAGAGACAGGGTTTCACCATGTTGGCCAGGCTGGTCTTGAACTCCTGACCTCAGGCGATCCACCTCGGCCTCCCAAAGTGCTGGGATTATAGGCGTGAGCCACTGCTCTAGGCCCAGATACGAATTTGACAAGTTCTTCCTCCTGGTGGCAGAGACACTAACATAAACACTGAGGCGATATGAATCATCAAGTAGGAGGTGAAATGGGGCCATGTGATCACCCGCCAGCAGGGCACAGGGAGGGCATGGGGGACTGCCACAGGAAGGGACAATGGGATAAACCCCACAGGGCCAGAAGAGGCAGCCCGCCTGAGGCAGGGGGTCTGGGTCCGGTGAGGGCAGGCCAGGGGGCTGGCTTGGGGATGTACTGGGTCAGGGGTGTGGACTCCTGTTGGACTTGCTGTGATTTCCTGGTGCTGCCGCTACTCAGCATGTGACATGGTCAGGTCGATTCTCTCCCAAGCCCACTTGGTGGGCTGAAAAGGGGTGGGTGTGGAGGGGATATGAGAGGATGCCCACACTGGCTCCCTGGGCCCAAGTTTGCCTGGAGCAGTGTTCCTGGAAGCGGAGAGGTTGGCAGGGCCGGGGCCGGGGCCGGGGCCGGGGCCGGGGCCGGTGCCGGTGCCGGTGCCCTTTACCCCAGAGAGCAGCCAGCGCAGCCTTACATAACCAGAGCCCGTGGGGCAGTGCCTGCCTACTGGGGCCCATCTCAGCTGAGGGCTACCACCTCCCCCCTGTAATTCACAGCCCCTGGCAATTTCCTTTTCTTATACATTGATAATCCAACTTCCAAGCTTTCTTGGAGTTTTCAGCCTTCCGGGATGGGAGTGGGCTGTAGGCAAGGGGGCTTTCCAAATGGACAACACTGCATTCCTTCCGGTTTGTGCAGAAACTCAGGCAGTAGGCAGGCCTGGGAGGTGCCCCTGCCCCTCCTATCTCCACCTGCACATTTTAAGATCCTCTGCAACCACCAGACCCTGCCAGCCCTGGGGCCGGAGGGACCCTGCGGCCCTCAAGACGCTCCTCTTTATTTTAGTGCCCCTCTCACCTGAGGAGGAACCCGGAGCGGCGCCGGGGCAGCTGAGCCCAGGAAGGCAAGCAGGCCGGCCGGGACCGCGAGTGCCTGGCGGAGCGGCAGGCACAGCCCAGGACTCCCGGCTCCCACCTCCGGCTGTAGGTGCGGGCCCCATTCCCTCCATGGCCCTGTCCCGGGCTCTGTGCGCTCAAGGCTTGGCCACCTGGGGCCGCCTGGCCGGGACGGGCCCAGGGGCCTGCTAGATGTTGCGTGTAGCACCGCGGGAGCCATCTCGTTCTGCATCACCCCTTGTCTCAGGCCCGTGGGGCGTGGGTGAGGGTCATAGTCACTCTCCCCTGTCGGGGATTGTCCATCCCAGCACCATGTGCTCAGCCCGTGAAGCCTGGGGGGAGCCAGGGAGAGGCAAGGGCAAAGGCCCCCCATTCCTGTTCAGGTGCATTTGTCCACGGAGGGAAACGTCATGGAGATGGAGGCACATCTGTGGGTCAAGAAGGTGGCCTAGAACTGCACCCAGAGTGGGGGGTTGGGACAGACAGACCTGGTCATGGTCAAGGTCAGAACTGAAGCTGCTGGTGGGTTGCAGGTGGCAGCACAGGCACTGAGTGTGACCCGACCAGGGGTCTGGGACACAAAGATAGGGCCCCCACCCCACGATCACTTGCTTCCCTCAGGGTGAAGGGCTGCAGTTGTAAGCTGAGCTGCCGGCGGCTGGGGGCCTGCAGGAGAGAGGCCTGGGCCACCAGCTGCTGCAGGCGGCTGCTCTCTCTGGTTCAGGAAGTGCCTAGGCTGGCCGGGTCTGGGGACAGTGAGCTGGCCCGGGGCTGCTCCTGAGTTCTGCCAGGCAGCACCGGGCCCGGGGCAGGCACCAACCACGTCTGTCTCCTCCCTTCCTGCAGTCCAGGGCCAAGGCTTGTGTTCAATCGTGTGAATGGCCGGCGGGCTCCCTCCACGTCCCCATCCCTCGAGGGGACCCAGGAGACCTACACACTGGCCCACGAGGAGAATGTCCGCTTTGTGTCCGAAGGTAGCGAGCGGGGCCGCAGGGTGTGGCCCAGGCTGCTGGGTCACAGTAACATGGACTCGGGATGGCCCCACTTCAAGGTGACCCCCAGCCGCTGTGGGGCTGTGCTTTTCCTTGGCGCTCTGCCCTTGTGTCCTGTGACCAGCCCTGTGTGGGGCTGGAGTCCAGGGTGACCATCAGGCCCTGGGTGGGCGATGGGGTGCTTGGGACCTGGCTCAGCCCAACTGCCCTCCTCCCACAGCCTGGCAGCAGGTGCAGCAGCAGCTGGATGGTGGCCCAGCCGGTGAGGGCGGGCCGAGGCCTGTGCAGTACGTGGAGAGGACCCCCAATCCCCGGCTGCAGAGTGAGCCCCCCCAACCCCGTCCCCTGAGGAAAGACCCCCCAACTCCTCTGATCCTGACCTGGGCTCTGCCAGGGTCCCACCCCAGGGGATGAGGGAGGGGACTCTGTGCAGAAACCCTTTCTTCCCAGGACACTGTGGTTAGCTCCAGGGGAGAGATGCTGGCCGGTCTGGGAGGCAGCCTTACTGCCCAGCCTTTTCTGTCCACAGACTTCGTGCCCATTGACCTGGACGAGTGGTGGGCGCAGCAGTTCCTGGCTAGAATCACCAGCTGTTCCTAGCGGCTGCTGGGAAGAAATGCTGCTACGGCCGACCTGTCACCAGGAGAGGAACGTGGCGCCCTGCCAGCCCACCCACTGCACCTGGCTGAGTGCCGGCCACACCTGAAGTGCCAGCATTGGGACTTTTGCACGTGTTTTCCCTTTGGCCTGGCTGTCCCAAGCTGCCATGGCCAGGGCCTGAACCTGTCTGACCTCAGCCCTGCTCACTGTGCCCAGGAACCAGCGACCAGCCCCTGGGGCTGGCAGGGAGGAGCTCCAGGCTAATAAAGTTGGGAAACTGCCTGTTTCGAGTGGCTTTGACATCAGAGGGTGGGGGGGGGGGTCCTTGTGTCCAGTTCCAGTCCCCAGCCTGGGACTTCAGGCCCAGTGCAGATTCCCCTTGTAGCCCTATCTCCTCGGGCCCTTGGCTTCTCACCCAGCTCTCTGCCGACAGGTGGGATGGGCGTCGGCCGGCTCACCTTGCTTGGAAGTGTGTAGACCCCACTTTGCTCCTCCTTCCTCTTCCGTTGGCGTTGTCCGGAACCAGAGCCGAGCCTCAAGGCCTCAGGACATTAAAGGGTCCTGGAGTGCAGTCTTGACCACCCTGCCCCCACCAGGATTGGGGCTGTCTCGGAACGCCAGGTCCCATTCTGAACCCGCCGGGCCCTCTGCGGGCGCCCGCACTGCTTTCCCTGTTGGGCAGGGGTGACGCAGCCCACCCGAGTCCGGCCCCAGGGTACCCAGGTGTGGACCAGGGGTCTCGGACGGCGAGAGAGTGGCAGGGGGAGCCCCGGCGCAAGCGCGGACAGGTGGGCGGGGGAGGGCCCGCAACCCGCGCGGGCTTCGAGGCCGGTCGGGCCGACCCGGGACTGCCTCGGGAGGCCCGCGGGGCAAAGGCAGCAGGGACAGCGGCCGGAGAGACGCGCGGGCTGCTCTGGAGGGGCCAGTCACGTGGCCAGGGCGCCGCCATGACGGCGGAAGTGACGGCGGAAGCGGGGCCGTTGCCAGGCGCCGTGTGCGTGCCCTGCGCGGGGCGCGCGGAGGCTGGGGCGGGAACTTCGAGTGGCGGCGCCATGGCCCGAGGTAGCGCGCGGCAAGCGGGGGTCCCAGGCACTGGAGGTCCTGGGTGGCGGGGTCCAGGGGCGGCGGCCGGAGCGCGCAGGGCCCCCACCTGGGCCCCGAGGCCGGAGTCCCCGCTCGGGCAGGGTCCCGGAGCTTGGCTTCGCTCGGGCGCCCCAGCGGCTCCTGCCTGGTCCCCTGACGCCCGCCGCCCGCCCCGCAGCGTGGCAGCACCCGTTCCTCAACGTCTTCAGATACTTCCGCGTGGACGAGTGGAAGCGCTCAGCCAAGGAGGGGGACGTGGCCGTGGTGACGGTAGGCGGCCGGGCTCACGGGCTCGCCCGCGGCGCACGCCCTGCCCTGCTCCCGGGAGAGGCCCCTCGCCGGGGCCGCGCTTCTCCCGGGTGCCGTCGGCGACCCCGAGGACCCCTCGCCGGGGCCGCGCTTCTCCCGGGTGCCGTCGGCGACCCCGAGGGCCCCTCGCCCGGGCCGCGCGCCTCACGGGTGCCGTCGGCGACCCCGAGGGCCCCTCGCCCGGGCCGCGCGCCTCACGGGTGCTGTCGGTGACGCAGGCTCCCGCCCCTCCAGGACAAGACCCTGAAGGGCGCGGTGTATCGCATTCGGGGCTCAGTCTCTGCTGCCAACTACATCCAGCTCCCCAAGACCAGCAGCCAGTCCCTAGGGCTGACTGGGCGCTACTTGTATGTGCTTTTCCGGCCCCTGTCCAGCAAGCACTTTGTCATCCACTTGGGTGTGTCCACCGAGGTACAGAGCGCATGGTTGGGGGCTCTGTGGGGGCCCGGCCCCCCTGCTGCCCTGTCTCCTCACCGCCCTGCTCTGCCCCCCACCCCAGGACGGCCAGGTCATTCGCCTGTCTTTTTCCAACCTCTTCAAGGAGTTTAAGTCCACGGCCACGTGGCTTCAGTTTCCTTTCATCCTTGAGACCAAGACACTCCAGAGAGGTGACACCGAGATGGGGCGTGGATGGTCCAGGAGGGAGCTGGTGCAGGCTGTCGGGCACCTCTGTGGCTTGGGGGACAACCTGGGGAGGCACAGGCTCACGGCTCTGGGAGTAGGGGACTGTCAGGAGGGTGGGTGCTGACCCTGAGTGCCTGTTCTGCAGACCGGGTGGGTTTGGCCACTGCTGGACCCCGCTGGACCTGCCTGCAGCTGGACCTGCAGGACATTCTCATGGTCTACCTGAACCGGCGCTACAGCCACCTCAAGAGCGTCAGGCTGTGCGCCAGCCTGCTGGTCAGGAACCTTTACACCAGCGACCTGTGCTTCGAGCCTGGTGAGCACCGCCCTTGCGCTCCCTACTCTGTCTCACCCAGGTTCTCAGCCCCGGAGGGGCCGGAGTCAAGGTGGAAAGTGCAATATTCAGGCTGTGCTCTCTCATATCTGGCCAGAACCCCATCCCCGAGGCAGCCCTGGGGTGGGCTGGTGGCATGGCAGTGCCTTGGTGGCTGCCCGGTGTTCAGGGGGCCAAACAGCTTCTCTAGACCTGGAACAATCCTGCTTCTCATAGCCGTCACTGGGCCCCAGGGGACAAAGCTGCCCCTCACTCCTATGCCTCGGGAAATGGCGTTCCCTGTGCCCAAGGGAGAGAGTTGGCATGACCGCTACATCCACGCGCGGTGAGTGGTCCTGCTTCTCTCGAGGGAGGTTTTGGTGCTGGGAGGTAGGTGGCCCCGGGGCCCCCAGACACTGACTCTCCCTCCCTCTGCCAAGGTTTCCGAGTGACAGTTTGAAAGTACCTTCGGAGCTGATTCGGGAGAGCCGTTTCCCTCCTGAGGCAGGTGGGCCTGGGGGGTCAGCCAGGACCCAGGTTAAGGCCTGCAGGGCGCATGGAGCTTGGTAGGAGAGGGGCGGGCTGGGAAAGGACCCAGTGGTGTGAGTGGCGTGGCGGCTGCAGCTGCTGCATGCCCAGAGCTGCCTGTGGGCAGGTGCAGGGACCCAGGGAAGCCTGTGGGCTATCCGAGCGTGCAGACCCACATGGGTGGGAGGTCTGTGTGAGGGGTACCTGCAGGCCCCAAGCTTTCCAGCTGGAAGAGGAGGGTTTCAGGTCCTGGGGTGGAAGTGGGGTTGCCGGCTGTGCGTCCTGCAGAGCCAGCGAGGATGGGCCACTTTCTGCCCCTTCCTGTCACCCTGAGTGTCAGGCGTCTGCACAGCTGGCCCCTGGGTCACTGGGGTTCTTGGCTCTGTTGCAGTCCTCCTGGGGTCTGGGCCCCAGCCCCTCCCTTGCCCAGTGGCCTCCAGCGAAGCTGTGTGGAATGGTGTGTCTCCAGTGGTCCAGATGCTCAGCCCCACAACTGTGAGTACCCGCTTTGCTCTCTGAGATGGGGCTGGGTCCTGATGGCCCAGGGCACTAATGGGGACTCTTTTCCCCAACAGACCGGCCAGGCCCCCTCGGCACCCAGGCCCTTCCGGGAGGTCAGTCTGTCCCGAGAGCACCCAGAGGCCTCTGGTGCGGATGGTCCCAGCGTACAGGCACCCCAGCCCTTCCTGAAGGTCAGCCTATCCCGAGGGCACTCAGAGGCGTCCAACACGGATGGGCCTCTTGAGCCCTGGGCCCAGGTGGAGGCCTCTGATGTCCACACAGCTGCTGCTGGCGCCCACGTGTTGACTCATAAGTCGGCTGAGGTGGAAGAGTCGGCTCAGGTGCCTGTGGCCCTTGAGGGTGCCGGCTCCTGCAAGGTGAGTGCCCATCCCACAGCAGCCGGGTGAGGTGTGGGCCGGGGCAGCTGGCAGCCCAGGTGAGGACGGATGTGCCTCTGGTTGTCTCTTGTTTAGCCTCCCAACAGGGAGCAGAACTGATGGGAGGTAGCTTTGGGGAAGGATCTCTATCCACACAGTAAGAAGGGCTTCTGCTCGCCCCCAATGCCCCAGCTCCAGGTGGTCTGTGGGGAGCCCTTGAAAGTCTGGCACTGCAGCCCGAATCCCAGGTCCACCCTAGCACAGCCAGCAGGGGCCATTCAGAACCAGGGCAGTCTTCCTGAGAGGCAGGCCCTTGAGAGCAGTAGGCTGGCAGGGCGCAGGGTTGGTCAGGGTGTCCTGAGGACCTGGCTGAGTCTCCCAAGGCCTCAATGGGAATGCCTGTTTCAGCGCTTCCTCCCGGATCCGGTCCTGAGGCTCAAGGGTGTCATCGGCTTTGGGGGCCACAGCACCAGACAGGTGAGGGTCCTGTGGCTGGGTCCAGAGCAGCTCTCAGTGGCTGGCTAGAGTGCCAAGTACGGGAGGGGCAGAGGAGACACCTAGGTCCTGTGGTGGCTGTGCAGGGTCCCAAGCCCCCTGGGGCACAGGGGTCCTGTCCCCCATCCACCTGCAGACGCCTGCCCTGCCCACAGCTGCTGTCACCTCCTGGTGCCTGAGGGCTGTTGGGGTCACGGGTATTTCTTACTTACCGGCTGATCTAAGTGCTTCCTGCAAAGACCCAGAGCTCCCGTGGCTTTAGAACTCTGATGATCCAGACCAGCAGTGTGGAGCCAGGCTGTGGGTCCCTGATGGGTGAGGTGGGCCTTCTGGGGGAGGAGCCCCAAGGCAGAGGTGGGCTTCCCCTCTGCCCCTGTGGCCCTGGGCTGTCATCAGGCCCTGCTGGGTGCCCGCTCTGAGTCTTTGGAGGTCCTTTGGCCTTATGCTACCTCCACCCCAGAGTGCTTTGCGCTGGAGGCAGGGCTTACAGGACACGGCACGCGTGTGCACGTATCTGTGCCTGCCTGTGCATTACAGCTGTTCTTTTGACGTGTGCGTCCTGTGACTTGTGTGTGTGTAGCGTGTGCAGGGGGTGCATGCTCTCCTGCCTCCAGGGGCTGTGTGAGCAGGTGCATATGCCAGGCCTGCACTTCCTCTCCCTGGGCTGTGGGAGGTGAGGCTGACCTCCCCGCAGCCAGTAGGGGCCTGGTGTACCCCCGGTGGCCTCAGCGCCCTGCCCCCTTGTGTCAGGCCGTGTGGACTGCGGACGGGGCGGCTGTCGTGTACCCCTGCCACGCGGTCATCGTTGTCCTGTGTGTGGACACCAGGAAACAGCGCTTCTTCCTCGGCCACACGGACAAGGTGAGTGCTGCCCGGGGTGGCTCGAACCCGAAGGCCGCCGCACGCTCCCTCATGCTTCTGCCTCCTAGGTCTCCACCCTGGCACTGGATGGGGGCAGCTCACTCTTGGCCTCAGCTCAGGCCGGGGCCCCCAGCGTGATGCGGCTCTGGGACTTCCAGACTGGGGTTTGCCTGTCCCTGTTCCGGAGTCCA